CAGACATTTTGGAAAAGATAGTGTAGAACAAAAGAACGATCAGTGCGTTTGCTCACAAGACCTGGGGAAGGTAGGAGAGACCCACGAAGAATGTTCTTCCAGCATGAACATGTTCTCACCACTGTTACTCAGAAATGAGTGTATTCAGTCAAAGAGATTCGATTTAGGGGCACCTGGGTGAGCTCAGCTGGTTAAGCCTCCAGCTCTTGATTTCGGCTCAGGTCATGATCTCTGGGTTGTAAAATCGAGCCCCGTGTCGGGCTCCACACTCAGTGTGGAGTCGGCTTGAGATTTTCTCTCTCCCTCTCCCCCTGCCCCTACCCCCACTCATGCTCACTCCCTCTCTCTCAAATAAATTAATCTTTAAAAAATTTGATTTAGTCTTAATTTCATTATTGTGTTATTTTTTTATATTTTTAATATTTTAATTTTGATTGAAACAACACATTTTAAAGTAATTTATATTATATACTATTAATATATTCACATTTTATATTATCTGTATATATTATATATTTTGCAAATTGTTTAACTTACTTTTTCTAAAATGCAAATGCCTAAAATGACATGCAAAGTATAGTCAGTCAGTCCCTTACATATTGAAGGCCAAGAATGTTAGTTTACTCACTGGCCATGGAATTGAGAAGGCGATGAAAAATATTCTAAGATAAAGAATTTTGGCAAAGCTTCCTAAAATTTTAATGAAACTGGAGGATTATAATGTTAAAGTGTTTGGGAGTTATAAAAACTAAAAACATATATTACACTTACATTTAGGGGATTTTTTTCAGCTCTATTGGAATATAATTTATATGCAATAAAATCAATTTAAGTTCACAATTTGATGAGTTTTGACAAATGTTTAAATTGTGTAATAACTTCTGCAATCATGGTAGGAATATCACCATCACCCCCAAAGTTCCCTCCTGTCCCCTTGCAGTCATTCTGTTCCTCCGGTTGAATCACTAATATGCTTGCTCACACTACTTTTGTCTTTTCTAAAATACCGTAAAAATGGAACCATACACTAGGTAATATTTTTTGTCTGGCTTTTTTTCTTTTAACATCATGATCTTGAGACTCATCCGTGTTGTTTCTATCAGTGGTTCATTCCTTCTTGTTGTGAGTCTGTTGCATTGTATGAATGTACCACTATTTGTTTATCCATTTACCTATTGACAGCAAATTGGGTTGTTTCTAGTTAGGGGCTATCATGAGTTAAGCTGCTATGAAAATTCCAGTAAAATTCTTTGTGCGAAGATACATTTGTTTTTCTTGGGTAAATACCCATCAGTGGGATTGTTGTGTTGTATTAAGTGTCTGTGACATCATAAGAAATTGCTAACCTGTTGTCTAAAGTGGCTGTACTCTTGCATTCTTCCGGTAATGTATCAGTGCTCAGTTGCTCCACATCTATGTCAACACTTGGTATTATCAGTCTTTAGTTTTAACCATTCTGATATGAACCGTTAGCTCTTTGTGGTTTCAATTTGCTCCTTCCTGATGATTAATGATGTTGGACACCTTCTCCTGTGTTCTTTGCCAGTCATATATATTTGATGAAATAATTTCTCAAGTCTTGTGCCCATTTTAGAAGCGTGTTGTTTGTCTTCTTATGGCATTTTAAGAGGTTTTACATTGTTTATATTTTAATATTTATATATTTTAATAATTTATATTTTAATATAGTTTATATTACCAGTCCTTTAACAGATAGATCCTGTGTAAATATTTTCTCCTAGTCTGTGGTTTGCCTTTTCATTTTCCTAACCACGCATTTGAGAAGCAAAAAAATTTAATTTTGATGTGGTCGATTTTTTCAGGTTTTTCATGTGTGCTAAGAAATCTTTGCCTGACCCAAGATCACAAAAAATATTTCCCTCTGTTAACTTCGAGAAGTTTTGTAGTTTTAACTTCAGTATTTAGGTATATTTTTAGTTCATTTTTGTAGTTGATAGAAGATTTGAGATTTGAAGGAGATTTGTTTTTTGTTTGCATGTGGACATCCGCTTGTTGCAGGATTATTTGTTCAGAAGACTGTTCTTTTCCTGGTTGAATACCACTTGGCATCTATGTCGGATATCAATACGCCATGTCTCTGAAGGTCTCTCGTCGATTCTCTCTTATTCCATTGATCTAAATGTTTGTCTTTGTGCCAGTACCACACTGGGTTGATGACTGTACCTTTTATAGTAAATCTTAGAATCAAGTAGTGATCGTTTGGGGAGAATTCACAACTTAATAGGACTGAATTTTCTGATGTATAAACATGATGTCTGTATTTAAGCATGCTTTAATTTTCCTCATCAGTGTTTTGTAGTTCTTAGAAGACAAGTCTTGCTCAGATTTTCTTAATTATTTTATATTTATTGATGCTATTGTAAATGGTATTACTTTTGTTTTTAGTTTTACATTTTAATTATTCACTGCTAATATCTAGAACTAGTGCTGCTTTTTTATATATTGACTTTGTATCTTGCAGCTTTGCTAAACTGATTTCTTATAGCAGCATTTTTGTAGATTACTTAGGATTTTATACATAGGCAATCATGCTGTCTATGAATAAAGTTTTACTTCTTCCTTTCCAGACCTACGCATTTTATTTCTTTTTCTGCTTTACTGCATTGAAGAAACTCCTATACAGTGTTGAATAAAAGTGATGAGCATGGACATTCTTGCCTTGTTCTTGATCTCAGAGTAAAAGCATTTAGTCTCTAGCCATTAAGTATGATGTTAACTGTAGGTGTTTTGTGTGTGTGTGTGTGTGTGTGTGTGTGTGCGTTTTTTTAATAGATACCATTTATCAGGCTGAGGAATTTCGTTTGTTTCCAGTGTTCTATAAGTTTTATCATGAATAGATGTTGAATTTTGCCCAGCACTTTCCTACATTTCTTGATAATCATTAATTTGTGGAGTTTTTTGTCTGTTAATAAATTGATTTTTCAACATTCCTGGGATGGTCATAACAACTTGATCTTTTTTCTGTGTTGCTGGATTCAGTATCTTAATTTTTGTTCAGGATTTTGCATCTGAGTTCCTGAGGGATATTGATTTATACTTTTCTTGCAATGTCTTTGTCTAGGTTTGGTGTCCGGGTGATGCTGGACTCATAAAAATGAGCTGTATGTTGTTCCTTCCTCTTCTGTGTAAGAGTTTGTGTAGAATTGGTATAATTTCTTCCTTAAATGTTTGGTAGCATTCACCACTGAAGGTTTCTGGGCCTGTAGATTTCCTTATAGGAAGGTTTTTAACTGAATTCAATGTCTTTAATAGAATAAGGGTATTCAGATTATCTTTATCTTCTTGAGCAGATTTGGTAGTTTGTGTCTTCCATGAAATGTTTCCGTTTAATCTAACTTGTTGAATCTGTTACAGTAATGTTGTTCATAATATCTCTTTGTTATCCTTGCAATGTCTGTAGGATCTGTAATAATGATTTATTTTAATTCCTGATACTTAACAGTTTTTAACTTTCGTTCTTGGTCAGTGTGGGTGGAGTTTTACTGACATCATTGATCTATTCAGGGAATCAGCTTTTGGTTTCATCGATTTTCTTTTTCTCTCTTTTTTTTTTTTTAAGACTTTCTTTGTCAGAGAGAGAGAGAGGGGCAGGCAGAGGGAGAAGCAGACTCCCTGCTGAGCAGGGAGCCCGTGTGGGACTCGATCCCGGTATCCTGGGATCATGACCTGAGCCAAAGGCAGACACTAAACTGACTGAGCCACCCAGGCGTCCCCGATTTTATTTTTCTGTTTTCTATTTCACTGATATCTGTTCTTTGTTTTCTTTATTCTGTTTGCTTTGGGTTAGTCTGCCCTCTTTTCTGGTTTCTTAAGGTAGAAGCTTCGATCATTGATTTGAGACCTCTCTTTTCTAATATAGGCATTTAATGTTATAAATTTTGCTCTAAACACTGTTTTAGCTTTGTCTCACATTTTTATATGTGATGTTTGAATTTTTAAGTTTGAGATATTTTCTGATGTTTAATTATACAATGATTCCTGAAGATTTCTTCTTTGATTCATGGATTTTTTAATAAGTTTTTGTTTTGTTTTTTAAATGTTTGTGGTTTTTCCAGGTAACTTCTTAGTTTTCTGATTTTAATACTGTTGTGGTCAGAATGCATATGTAGTATGATTGTAATCCTCAAATTTGATACTTCTTTTATGTCACAGAATATGGTCTGCTTTGGTGAATGTTCCATGTGTACTCGAAAAGAATGTGTATTCTGCTCTTGTTGGGTGAATTGCTCTATGTGTTGGGTAGATCAAAGTGGTTGGTAATACTTTTCAAGTTTTCTGTCTGTCTACTTGTTTTATCAGGGGGAGAGGACTGTTGAAATCTCTCATGGTAATTTAAAAAATTATATTATTTTAAATTTAATGAAAGTAGATGGTTATGATGTTAATAAGATGACTGAGAGCTGTAAAGGCTAAATTAAAAAAAAATAGGGGAATGTTTGCTTCTTAATTAATATGCATTAGATTCCCATAGACTTGTTTTCCATCGCCAGTCCTGTTACTTACTGCCTCAGCAACCCTGCTGAGCTGATTCTTTGGATACAGGTAATACAAACTTCTTGTAGCTATTGTGGGTATTAAATTAATAATTAATTACATAGCATGCTTAATCTGATCCCAAGCCGACAGTAAGTCTTGAATCCATAGAAACTATTTTTGTATTTTTTTAACTTTCAAATAAAGATATCAAATATGTATTTTAATCTTTGATGCATTACATTTGTTAACTTTTTTTTTTTTATTTCACTCTTGGCCTGCACCAGATTTTCTCTTTGAATATCTTTTTCCTGTTGCTCTTATTGGAGCCTTAATTGAGCATAGCGTGCCTTGATTGTGTTGTGGAAACGATTCTTTCTTTTCATAGTTTTACTCACTTTACGACAGATAGGAGTGTTGGTACGTTAGATACACTTGCCGCAGCTGTAAAATCATCCCACGTTACTTCGCTGTCTGAAAGGCGATCTGTTTTTCTTTTCTTTCAGATAAACCGAGAAAGCTGGTGTGCAATAAAGCCGTGCCCTGATACAGCATCTCTCTTGGCCCCCGCACAGAGCCCAGGTGAGCAGGGGTCTTCCAACTTCCAGTTGCTTGAATCACTGCATCTAAAGTGTCCATTTTTTGCACTGCAGCCCCCCTCTGATTACAGACCACTTTCAGAGATCTGTCCTTCCTTACCATGCCATGCAATAAGTCAGAAGAGGAGGTATGTGTGATTTGGGTTCGTAGGCATTTTGTCTCAACTGAGAATGGGTAGTGTCATATAATTAACCTAAATTTCAGGTTAGTAGTGAGTCTTCACATGTGGCTTTCTGACTCATCACTTCTGTGAAGGCATCTGTGCTGTGCACATACATGGGATCATGGTTTCTCAGTCTGGTACAACTATAAATATTTGTTATTAAGAACTAAACCCGTGGCTCTCCATTTTGGCTGCACTTCGAAATTACCTGGGAATATACTGCTGCCTGGGTCCTGCTCCCAGAGGTTGTGATTTAATCGGGCCTGGGGTGTGAGCTCGGCCTCAGAATCTTTGAAAGCTCCTTTGGTGACTCCACTGCACAGCCAGGATTGAGAACCAGAAACTTTGGAAGTATTGTCAGCCATTGAGCCTTGCCTTAAACACCCATGAAGTCTCAGTAACAACAGGTGAGGGTCAGCTGCTAAGACCTGGCTTGTTAATGACACAGCGCATGACTAGTGGGTAGTTAAGATGCCCAACTTTTTACCCAGGTTTATCCACTAATTCACAGTGACGAGAGTTCCCTAACGTCTGTGCGCTCGGCTGCCATCCATCTCTCAAGGGCTTACTAGCTCTCCTCGGTGGGGGGTGTTGCCTGAATGACACGGTGCTAACTGTAAGGCCCTGTGCCTGTTGTTGCGGCCTTCCTGTGAGTGCTGGTCATTTGTATCCTGGGCTCTTGAGTCGACTTGACTCAGCAACACCTCCGTTTACCTTACAGGTTTTACTGACCTGCTTTAAAGTTTACTTGAGTGCTCACTGACTGGTCTTTATAGTAACACTGTAGCTGTGGATGTCCTGCAGTAGTATTAAATGGAAAGGCAAACTGTCCAAATCCTGTATCTCCCAAGAGGTTTCCTACTGACTCTCAATTCTTCACTCCGAAGGAAGTGTTGGAGACAGATACGAAAAGCGGTCTTCCCTAGTTTTGTCTCACATGGAGGTTGTTATGCTATAGTTGTGTTTAGGGTCTCTGCATGTTATAAGATTGACCCTGTTTCCAGACTTAGCTGACCCTTATACACCACCCAGCCCCCTAGAATCTTCTACTTAAAAGTACACTATTTACCGTATCTTGGTCCCTTGAGCTGTTCAGGGTGTTTTCTGAAAGTACAATTACTCCCAACCATCCAAGCAGTGAAGCTGTCTGCCTTGTAAAGGTTAAATGTGGAAGTTTCTCCACATGCTGGAGTTTAATTTACTCATTTAAAGAAATGAATTTTGAACCCCTGAGCATTTTCCCCAGGACACCCTCTTGAATTTTGTTGACAACGCCCGCCTCCATACTCCAATCCCAAGCATAACTACTTTGGTGTTTTTAAAATGGGTCTTTTTAACTCTCCATGTAATGGCATCCAAGATCTGGATTAGGCTTTGGAGCTTCAGACCTGAGTTTTTTATTTTAGTAAATTTTTTGGTGAATTCTAGGCCCTTTGGATCTTGAAGGTTTCATTTATGTTACGAACACAGCTCAAGAGAGAGCAATAGTGTAAAACCAAGTAAGATGACATGTTTTAAAATCACTTTGGATATTCCTCCATTATGGATAAATACAAATTTATATAAGTACAAATACATACAAATACGTTATGATTAGCATGGTTCAGCAAATCCCAGTGGGCGCTGCTGGTAGTTTTTCCTATCTTTGCCTGCTGTAATTTGTTTGCATATATATAATTTTAGACCCAAATGACTAGAGAGTATCTTAAAGTGACATATTTTGCTAGCTTTTAAAGAAATTAATGTCTCAGGACACAAAGGTTTATAGGCAGATTTATATATGAGTCATAAAACAGGACTGGCCCACATCAAGGTAATGTCCTTTCCAGATACTTGCACAGTATAGGTTAATAACAAAGCCTTAACTGCATTAGGTGTGTTTATCACACACCTGCTGTGTGCGAGGGGCAGAGTTCTGGTTACTATTTGCATAAAATTCTTTCTAACCGTCACTACAACTATTTCAGGGAGATACTAATCAGTCCCATTTCACTGGTGTGGAAGTGAAGGCTTAGGGGTTAAATGACTTCCTGCCTGGGATCTTTCTACTAAAAGTAGGCGGTGGGAGATTTAAGCTAGACAGGATCGACTCTAAAACCAGTCAGTGCTCATTGTTCTTGCTTCTACCTGCATGTGTTGCTCCACCTCATTCATTAGGAAGAGGGCAGGTAGGAAGGCCTGTAACACAAGGTGGGGATTAGCTTTGCCTTTAGGGTCCCCCCTCATTTGTGGGGTTTCATGATGGCTTATGGGTCTTTTTCTCCCCCTTGTTCCCTGTTTGCTTACTCTTTCCCCCCACCCCCCCCCAACTCAACAGTTAGGATTGTATCACACAGCAGAGTCTCCCCCCAGCTTGATTTGTGGTCCCTTGTAGTGCTGGCCCGGATTTATTTTCTGGGTGAACTGTTCCTACCAGGGCTGGATCTGGATCTTCCCTGTGAATTTTCCATTAGAGTGTCTTGAGTTGGTTTGTTTTCCAGTCTGGAATTGGGACGTGGTCTGTTTGCCTGCCAGCTGGACAGCCAGCAGCTCAGCATAGTTGCTGTGACAGCCCTTTCTTTTCTTGGCCAGCCCCCTGTTTTCCCCTCAGCCCTGAAGTGGAGTCTTTGATTTTTCCAAGTGGGGAAAGGGGGAGAAGTAGAAAGGTCACACCCACCGACTCCACCTGGGTTAGTACATACTCTCCGAAACTGGGTGCGGTGGGGGGAGTCTGGAATACCCATGATTTCCAGTCTTTTGAAGGCAGGGCTATTACCATTGAACGAAACACTCAGAAATAATTTGGACCAACGAAGACTGAAATGGACTAGAATCATTTTTTTTTCTTTAATTGAAACATTTTCAGATTAATCTGTGGGCCCCTCCTTGCTCTCGGTGGTATCCTTTGTGTACTTCTATGTTGAAATGGTCTCTTAATATGTCCGTTTCTGCTGTAAGGTTGCAAACTATCTCACGCACATACACAGACTATCTCTTTTTACTTGGATAATCCTTAGCACCTAGTCAAATACCTAACTGACAGAAGAGGTAATTTTATGGACAGGCAATTCATGACCTATATACCAGTGCAATGCTTCTTTGACCCTCCCTCTAAGATCCCCAGCTAATCCAGGGCAAATAATTTATTAATGATCAATAATTAGCTAATTCAGATATGAAGAAACTTCCTCTTCTCAACCCTCAACGCGCGCGTGCGCACACACACGATTATTGTCCAAACATAGACCCTGAGGATTTAGAGAGACATTGGGGGTTGTCTAATCTCTACTTCCCCTTCCGTGTATGCATCTTTTCTGAAACCTCTTGACAAAGTCACTCAGCCTTTGCTCCACCCCTTCTGGTGAAGTGACAGTGGTTACTTTATGAAACTCCCAACCAATTGCCCAGAAGCCTAGTTATAGCAAAGCTCTGTGGCTTCCACTCAGTGGGCTTTTAGTTCTTCCTCTGGAACAGTACAGAGCAAATCTGCAGCTGCCCTTAGACACATTTTCTTCAAGCTCCTGTGCAAGCCTCATATGAGGCTCTCGAGTGTTTCCACTGTTGTGACCTCATCACCATGCGTGCATTTCTTCTGTTTATCAGTGTTTTACTTAAATGTTACCCAGGGACAAACATCATCCTGTGGGTGCGGTCTGGCTGTCACGTAATGGCAGGACTGTCCCCATTTTGGACCTGGGTACACTATTAATAGAGTCTAAAACCATCGGTGTTTTTCGTTTTGCTATACCTTGTATCGTCAGCTCCTCTTGAATCTGCTTTCAACCAAAACCTCCGGGGGGAGTGCTCATGAACTGCTAGGTAGCCAGCTGATCTGTTGTGTCCCTTGTCACTTAGTCTCACCCGAAGAGTTGATATATGTCTGTCTGTATCCCATATAAAAATGCTAACTGGAGTGGAAATGCTTCACTCTGCAGACTTCTTGAAGGAGGTTGATATCTACCTACTAATTGACTTTCTTTGGGCTCTTGGTTTTACTGCACCCAAATATTTTTAATTCTGTTGCTGCCAAGTCCCGTGTCCCTTTTGTTTACAGAATTAATAGAAAGCGAGTTAAATACCTTGCTAATTTCAATGTACTAAGTGTTTAGAATTCCTTGATCTACAGCATAACATTTCTGTCAAGGCCCCCTCTGTCTGATTTACCAGAGTCCCTATGCTAGTTATTGAACTGAAGACAGATTCTAGATGATATATTTTTTTTTAGTGTATTATTCCCCCAATGTCAGATCTGCTTAAGGTAGAAGTCAAACAATTATATTTCTGTTATTACTCAATAGAACCCATAAGTGTGATACACTGATAATTTTTATTAGATATGCTTCCCCTCCTTTTTTAATCCTAATATTTGGCTAGGTAATACGTTTCCAGAAAGAACTGAAGTCTTAGAAATTTGGCCCTAAACCCTATCTCATAGTTTCCTAATAAAGGACTTCTGATTTTAGTAGCAAAAGGAAATATTTTCTAACTCCCAAGAGGAAAAGATTACCACTTAAATGCCTAAATATAGATGGAATTATGGTTCTGAATTACCATTTTATCTTTTTGTGCCTTTGGTTTACATGGCAAACTCATGGTGGTTCCATAGTAACGATCACCCTAGACTTGGAATACCAGAGTTAAAAGCTAGTAATCTGTGTCCTTTACAGCTGCTTAATACTGGAAGAGGGCGGAGGCTAGTTGGTTGACTTACAAGGCGAATTGCTGGACTGAAAAGAAAGTAAATTTTTTTTTTTACGTATTGGTTGAATACATTTTCTTTTTCAGACTGTGAGAACTTCCTGGATGTTGGACTGGGCAGAGAATGTGCCTCAAAACAAGGTGTCCTCAAAAGAGAGTCCGGCAGTGACTCTGACCTCTTTCACTCACCCAGCGAAGAAGTGGACAGCATTGTCTTCCCCAAGGTACTGTCTGCCTCAGTATGTGACTCCTGCTAGCCATGGTGGGCATCTCTCAGTGATCCTAGAGAAGACTACATCCTCCCTTTCGGAGAAGGGAGCTCCGGGCCTCTGGGGCTTAAATAAAGGCATCGGCCACTTGATCTTCAGTAGAGTTGTGGCTGGTTACGTGCAGGTTTTGAAGCCTGAAGAAATGGGAGTTCCTTTGGTGTGAATTAAATCAGATGAAGATGAATACTTTTCAGTGGGCAGGAAAGGACCGCAGCTCAGACTGTAACACGTCATGTGTATAAACTAACCATAGAGTCATTTCTCATTAATGTGTTTAGGCCTGAAGCTCGCTGCTCAGCTTGGTGATGTCACCCCTCCTCATCTAGCCTGCTTAATTGGAACTTTCTAGATCTCTGCTGGGGAACCCAGACTGTCTTCTCCCCAGTGAAAAGCCAAGCCCATGCACATGAGTCACCATGTGTTTTCATATAATTTGAGGCTCTCTAAGGGGTCGGGGGATGGGGGCGGTTTGCTTGCTTTTGCTTACGTTTATATCTAGTTGCAGCGAGTTCTGTTTTGTTCCGAGAAGAATAGCGGGCTTTGCCACACCAGGATCAGCAAGTGGTACTCAGTCACACGCCACATGTGCTTGTCTTAATCGCGAGGGGGTGAAGGGGCAGAAACACAGCAGCTGTGAGGATGCCTTTATGAAGGCTTCAGGATGACCCTGGAGAAGTGATAAAAGGGCACTTGGGTTAGTGGGTGATGTGGTTCTCCAAGACCCTGTGAGGATGCTGTCCCATAAGTTACAGGAGAGGCTTGGCGTCCTGGCATTCTGGGCTAGAACATAGTTAAAGCCTCTGTAAATGTACCCCTCAAACCTTTATTTTCATTTTTGTCCAGTGGTTCTCATGTGCCCATTTGGCTTTCCCTAATTTTCTTTTCCACCGTGTTCCCTTTCCTTGTGCTCACTGTCTTCCAGAGGTCCTTGGAAAAATTTACAGAACTTCAGGATTCCCGTCATTGTTACTTGCAGCGAATTGATTCAGTGGGTTCTGTAAAGTAAAAAATCTGCACACTGGGAAGGTCTGTCTGTCTCTGAGGTTATCTAGAAAGAGGGAAACCATGATTTTTTTTTTTTTTTGAAATAATAGAATTTGGGTAATTTCTACTGTGACTTTGAGGTTTTCATTGTAAGGACTTCTGAACCGTCCCCCACCCCCAAGGGGAATGCCATTCTGAAGGGGCATGTCTCTCAGAATATTTTACTTGTGTCTCAGATAAACAGAAAGTATCTCTTAGTTCCAGCTTTAAAATTGAATCACTGACAATCACTGAAACCAGGTCATGGATACATGGGGATTTGTTAAACATTTATGTGTGTTTGAAATTTTTCGTAGTCAAAAGTTGTTTTGAAATTGCAGAGTCTTCATTAAGAAAGACTTGCTTGCTCCCTCCTAGGTGCATGACAGCTTGTCCCTGGATGCTGGCGTCTGCAGAATGGGAGTGATTTCTGGTCACTAAACTGAGTGATTTTCCTAGCTAAAGAGAATTTGAATTTCCTGAGTTTTGCCTCTTTACTCAAACTGCCAAAAATATTTAGGAGATTGTTCATACGAATGGCTGGTGCTAGAGTTGGCAGGTTTTTCAGGATGACTAGACAGAATTGTTAAGAGTTGAAGCATACTCTCCAAATCAACTTTTACCTACATGTCATACCCGAGTGGCTCAGAAAATCCAGAAATGGTGGACGCACTGTCATCTCTCCGTGCATGCACGAGAATGTCGCATGGCCTGGGGCGAGATCTGGAGGGTTCTTCCTCTTGGTTATTTCCACTTTCCCAAAGTTGGTCGTGACCCGGAGAGGTTTTGCAATAAAAGTTTTCTCTGGCATTCATAAAGCCAACCAAGGGTTTGCGTATGAAAGGAAAAGGGGGGAGAGAGAGAGAGGGAGACAGGCTAATACTTAACAAAGTGGTTACTACACCGAACTGAATTTTTTATAATATATGTGATCTCCTTTCATGCTCCCGACAGCCCTGCGAGGTGGGTGGTTTTATCCTCATTAAACTCCTGAGGGAGAGCAGGCTCTGATTGGTAGACAGGTGTAGTCCAAATTACTCAGCTGGTAAGTCACAGTCTTGAGGTTGTACGTAGGCCTGACTCTCCAGTCTGTTCCCTGTTACTTTGCTCTCGATCTCCAGACACCTTCTTTAATCGCCAGTGATTTATACAGAAGCAGGGTGCTGGCAGACGGGCCATCAGCAGCATCCCTCACCGTCTGTCTCCGTGGACAGCCACACAGCATGTGTGTTGTGAAACATCATACTGTCCCAGAGTGCCTCCCACTGTCCCGTCTCTAAAATATCCTCTCTGGGCAAGCCATCACAACATTCTTTTCTGTGAACCACGAGTGGTGCGTTAGGTCACTTCCTACAGCCGTGTGGGTGACTCTGGCCTCACAGAGGTCTCCTGAGCAGCCTGCAATGTTGGTCACAAACTCTTCACCTTAACCTTCTATTTCCATTCACCTGCCTTCTGGTAAACACGACTCGGGTAAGAGGACCTTCCTGATTACCCTCTGAATATTTGCTAGTTCTAAGGTCTTATTCTCCATAGATCAACAGCATAAAATTTAGATTTTTTTTTTTTTTTAAGATTTCATTTATTTATTTGAGAGAGAGAAAGCACAGTGGGGCAGAGAGGGAGAGGGGGAAGCAGACTCCCCACTGAGCAGGGAGCCTTATGCGGGCCTCGGATCTCAGGATCCCAAGATCATGATCTGAGGCTAAGGCAGACTCTTAACCAACTGAGCCACCCAGGCGCTCCTAGATTATGTTTTTAAAGTAGGAAGAAATCCTGGTCTTTTTCTTGGCACCAGCAAAGAAAGAGTGACCATAAAATAGATAATCTCGGCCACCCTGTTATCCAAAAGGTTCATTGAAGTCCACGAAAATACTGATAGTCAACTGTCTCTTTTCCCAAAGAGAATTAGATAAAATAAAATGCTCACACCTTGTTTTTTCTCCAGTTCGTAAAATGTATCCACAACTAAGAAAATCAGAGTAATTCCCCTAAGATGCTAAGCCTTAAGGGAGCATCCTTTCCTTCCTATGCTATAGTTTGCTCTCAAGTACTTGATCACCAAGCCAGATAGTTTTTAGGCTTTCAGGGATAAAAATAATTATACTTACAGTATCCATATTAGAAAAACTGTTATCATTTATGCACAAGTATTGAAAATTATTGTAATTTCAGAACTGTGAAACAGTTTGCTATCACATGCTTAATTAAGATTCTTAGATTAATTATCGCATGTAAATGGATTAAACAGTTGGCACATACTAGGTGTTTAAAATGTGAGTTGTTATTTTCCAAGGCACATGGCAGGGTGCCTTGTGTATAATAGACAACAATTTATAAATATTTAATAAGTTATTAGGAACTGAAGGACCAGTATTTTGGCAATATCAAACATTCCTTCAGGGGTAGTAATAAGATAGAAAGTGTGTAGTTGTTTTTATATTTATGTATACATATGTTGCATAATGTTTACCCCGCTCTATAACTGCATAGTACCCATCTAGTGTAACTCTTGGTTAAGAGAGCCAGTCAGGCATTTCCCCCCAACATTTTATTGAGAAAATGCTGGAACATCCGGGGGGGTTGGAAGAGCTGTGCCGTGAATACCCACCACCTGGATTCTACCATTAACTTCTTATACTTGCTCTGTTACACACCTGGACATCTGTCCTTCCTTTTTCTACTTGCCAGTCCACCTAATTTTTTTAATGCATTTCTGAACAAGTTACAGATAACAACCCACTTTGACCCCTAAATACTTAGAATTCAGCGTGTGTTAATAGAGTTGTTTTTTGTTTGTTATAAAATCTACACACAGTGAAATGCGCAGTGTGAAGGCTACCATTCAGTGACTTTTCCCTCAGCTTTACTGAGTTAAAATTGACAAAAATTGTACATATTTGAAGTGTACAAGAGGATGTTTTGATAGACATACATTGTGAAATGCTTACCACAATCAGGCCAAAGTTATCTATCACCTCACAGATTTACCTTTTTGTGTGGGTGGTAAGAACACTTGAGATTTACTTTCCTAGCAGATTTCGAGTATACCGTACATTATTATTAGTAATCGTGGTCACATGCTGTACATTAGGTCTTCAGAATTTATTCATCTCTTAACAGAGCTTGTTCCCTTTGACTAACATCCCCTATTTCCCCCACTCTCGGGGGAAGCCCTGTTCTACTCCCTGTTACTATGAGTTGCCGTTTCTGGTTTCCATGTAGAAGTGAGAGCATGTAAAGGTTTTCTGTCTGGCTTATTTCACTTAGCATGATGCCCTCGGGGTCCATCCATGTTGTTGCAAATGGCAGGGTTTCCTTCTTTTTTAACTCTGGGTGATATTTTCTTTACCTGTTCAGCTGTCCGTGAACACTCACGATGTTTCCATGTGTCGGCTACTGTGAGTAATGCTGCTGTGAACATGGGAGTGCAGATACCACTTCAGGACGATGTCTTTATTTCCTCTGGATATATACCTAGAAGTGGGATATTGCTAGATTATATAAAACAGTTCTAGTTTTATTTTTTTAAGGAACCTACATACTGTTTTCCGTAATAGCTGCAACTCAGCAACTTTTAACAAATGGTTCATCTTTGTTACCCAAACCCCCATATGGATCGGGCTATTACCTTCACTTTGGGAAGTTTCCTTATGCCCATTCTCAGTCTGTCTCCTCTCCAAGCCCTTGGAGGCAACAACTGTTCTAGTTTTTTTCCCATCACAGGTTCGTTCTCTTTATTTCAGAGCCTCATACAAATGGAATATAAATATTATTTCTTTCGGGTAGATGAGGGGAACGGATAGATCATATGGCAGGTATCGGTTTGGTCTTATAAAAAAAAAATCGCCAGACCTTTCTCCAAAGTGGTTGTATCATTTTGCATTCTCACCAGCAATATATGAGAGTTTTGGTTGCTCCATGTTCTTATC